TTCGCTCGGGCGCAAGCCGAGCTTCTGGCAGCCCCACCGCCATTTCCAAAGTTCGAGCGCGCGCGCGCGCGCCCGTTTGTTCTTCGGGACTACAAAAACGTAGGGAGCCTTCATGCGCGCTTTGCTAGGGTGATGCCACCCTTTGTAATACCAATCGCCGACAAACCAGCAGCCATTTTGTTCCTCGGCGATAATCCGTGGGGCTTATAACCCTCCCGGAAACAAGCACCTTATCTCAGAAGTTCGGAGCAGCGTTGTGGAACCCACGGAGGGAGGATTAGCATTTTCCCCCTCGGATGGGATTACCGATGGACACAAAGGCCACTTTCCGGCGCACGGGGAAACAATGAGAGAAACAAAATGGCGGTGGAAGAGGGTGTGGGAAAGGGAAACAGGCAGTTGGCATCACTCTATGCGAAGCGCACATGAAGGCACTCTACAAAAACGCATCTCCCTGGAATGCCTGGGGAGAGGGAGAGGGGCTGTCCCGGTGGTCCCAGCGCCTTGACCTCGCCCCCTCCCTCCTCTCTTGTCACCCCTGTCACGTGACCCACAGCAGCGCGCGAGCTACACGCTGGTAAGCATAGAGATCCGGAAGGGCGCGCCTTGCAGCCGCTTTTTTCTTTGTCTGCTTGTTGTCAGTTGCTGCTCGAAGTTCGCTCGTCCTACCTGCTTCAATCTGTCGCCTAACCCTGCGGTCTTATTGGGATGTCTCTCCACAACGTATTGGATGTGCACCAAAGCTATCAGTGTTCGAAAAGACCCACGTGTATGTCGGCAACGAGCGATTCTTCAAAGAAGCCGCAAATTCTCGCGGTTTGGTTGGGTTCGGCAAATGACAGCTTGTGCGCCGCATCGTGTTGAAACTTCCAAGGAGCCGTTCCCTCTCGTTTGTGTTTGTGTGGTTGTCCTGCTTTGACCGTGTCGACAAATATCACGGATTACCTCTTTCAAGTCCGCTATTGTTATGGTAAGTGCACTGCAACCTACGTGTTGGCAACGATTGACCGTTCTTCTACGCGTACTCTTCTAAATTATCTAAAGAAGTATGCAGCGCCTATTCGCGCGGCAGCCAGGAGAATAATTTCCCCGAAAGTCTACCTGTATAGTGTTCACAGATCGCTTGCACGTTTGTACTTGTCTACAGAAGAGGTAATAAACTTCGAGGAGAACTGAAAACAATCTTTTGTGTCGGTTTTCCTGTCCACTTACAAGCACCTACGCGAGTGCATTTGTTCTACGTGTTTTCTCCATGTTATAAATACGTTTATGAGTTTCGGGACGTCTTAAATATGTTTAAGATAACCAACCTCCCAGACGATACCCATTTAGGGCTAGCGCATAATTTGCCATTTCGAAGGGCACGTTCAAACGTGTGGTCACGTGCCATGTCGAACGAGTACTCGTACCATACGGCACCCGTATCAAACGGGCACCTGTATCAAACGGGTACCGTTTCGAACGGGTACCGTTTCCAAACGGGTACCCGTATCCCATAATCACGTTTGATCCAAACGGATCGACAGGTTTGATTTCAAACGGGCGACCAGTTTGCCACCCGTTTGAATTTCAAATGGTTTTTTTCAGTAGGGAACACCAAAGTGCTATTTCCCTTAATAATTAATTTAGTTATGTCTTTACATATGAAAACCTTCCGGGTATTCCCGTCTCATGCCGGGTTTTGCACACTCCGATGGGGCCCATCACCATTGAATATGCCGGCGTCCTGAAAGCAAGTGAAAACTTCAAGCTGTCTTCCAGTTCAGGGGATAACCAACTCAATCCTAAGATTCCAATAAAACACTAAACCCACATCCGTATTTTTCCTTTTTGACTTATATTCTCACTTTGCCATTCGGAAATTCCGAGAGATTAAAAAACTGGCAACGTAACCCCTGTATACAAATCTGGTGATTACCACCTATTTACGAACTCTCGCCTCATCTCCCCAACTAGACTATCATCCGAAGTCATGTGCCACTTAATTGACTTCAATATAATCAGTTATTTAGAAGATGACAACCTTTTTTTTAATCATCAATATGGATTCCGGAAAGCATGCTCTTGTGAAACCCAACTAACGGCTTTTCTTCATGACATTCACGCTGGCTTTAATACAAACATTCAGACTTACGCCGCCACTTTCGTCGACTTTTCCGATGCATTTGATAGGGTACGTCCCTCATCCAAATTTTATAATAAATCTAACGAATTTAACATCGAGCCGGCTATCGGTAAATGAATATCTAAATTTTTGACTAACCGCACCCAGTACACAACCATAATTAATTCTAAATCACCCTCGTGCGCAGTAACCTCAGGGGTCCCTCAGGGCAGTCTACTGGGACCCTTACTTTTTTAATCTACATGAATGACATATAGGGGCACATCGCGTCATCAGTTCGGTTGTTTGCATGTGACTGCGTAATTTACAGGCCTATTATCTCTCTCCCGACTATCACCATACATTGCAAACAGCTATTTCACAACTTATTCAATGGTGCAGTAAATGGCAGATAGCCCTAAAATTTGACAAACAGAAATTCCTTTTGTTCTCTCGTTGTGCTCTTGTTCGACTTTTTTCTTACCATCGTGGCACCTCCCAAATCACCGTTTGCTGTTCATTAAGTATCTTGGTATTAATTTAGCATCTGACCTTTCATGGTCGTCTCACATCAGTAATATAGTAGCAAACGCAATCAGTACCCTCGGCTTTTTGCGCCGAAACCTGAAACCCGCAAACCAGAGATAAAACAACTAGCATACTCTACTTTTGTTCGGTCTAAGCTTTAACTCGCTTCTTCTGTATTGTTCCCTTGAATCCTTCCAAAGCAGAACTCTGCTCTTTCTTTTTTTTTTTTTTTTAATTATTTACCATTCACAAGCACATCTGGATTGCTCAAAATTGCAAACCTTCACATACTTTCATTAAGGCACCGAGTGTCCCGTCTCTTTCTCCTTCACCGTATCTTTCATCATAACATGTCTTTTCGTTAATCACTGCTTTGACCCCTGTGGCAAATATTCCCCCGCTTTGACCACTCGTGTAATTACGGCCTATATTCTCGTCAACTACTTTATACAGTAATTCAACTTTACCCTTGGCCGTCAACGATTTGAACATACTATCAAACGACATTGTCACAAATAAGTGACACACATAAATTTGCTGCTTCTGCAACTACTTTAATTTCTGCTTTATCCGAATAATTCCCTTTTCTACTGGGTTAAAATTGCGTACAAAAATATTCGAAAAAAAAACTTTTTCCTTTGTAATGTCCGTAAGGGTCTTCAAGGACAATAATAAATGAAAAGAATGATAATCTATCGTTATAAAGGAAAGGTGTTTTCAGAACCTCAAACCATTCGTATGTTAGGCCACTAAATTCTAAATTTGTTACTCACTCAGCCCTTGCGGGCGCTAACCAATTTGCTTGAATTTCGTTTCGTTAGGAAAGAAGAAAAATACAACTTTAGCTAATCATGCAAAATAAACATTAAAAAAAACGACTTAATTCTTCTTTAAACTTTATAGTCACGGAACCATTGTCACTGCCTATAGTTACCGCGCGTTGGCCATGAAATCAAAGCCTTTTCCGTTTTCTCGCATCTACCACATTTGCGAATTTTAATAGGATGTCCTAGAGATATGCTATCCTTGTTGATGACATTTTTAAGCATGTATTAAAAAGTAACCCTACCAATTAGCTAGCGGAGGGGCTTCTTTCAAAACGACATTTTTATCTTGAGATAATAGTCGTCAACTTCCGGAACACTTACCCGTGATGAAGCTTTCAACGATAAGAGCGAAGTATGCGACTGTGGGCGTCTCCACGGAGGAGGATATGACGTAAGTGGTCGGTATGAAGGACCATCCAAAGAAGGCGAACAGGAAGTAGTAGCGTGCTGCACAAGGGAGTTCGGAGTCACATTCAACTCTCCATCACATGACTATTGGTACACTTAAAAACCTGCAATAATTTCGGCATTTCACCCATGCTTTATTATTGAATCTATACGCTTTCCTTAAGAAATAACACAATGCATTCTTGGAAGGCAGCCGAAAAGAAGTTGGCCATATTCTAAAAAGGTACGTTAATTTCTGGAGTGATATGTGCGTCTATTTCTTGCGTAAAACTCATAATGTAACAAATAAAAACTGGGAAACGATGCTTTGAAAAATAATCTGCGTTTGCACGAATCGCAAATTTAAATTGGTCCCAAGCTTGTTTGCATTTAGCAGTACAGAAAGGCCGGCGAAGCGCAGTGAAATGAAAACTGAAAGCGTACACTACGGGAAAAACGGTCATAAATTCTGAATAGAAGTTGATTTTAGTACTAATCAACTCTACTACGTGTTAAAACCCCATTTACAAAGAACGAGCCAGCAATGTACGAATCAAACACACTAATACTAAGAAACTGTCAGAGAAAGATAAGATGCTGTCGAGCCCCCAATTACCAATTATCGTGTGGCGAAAAACAAAACAAGAAACGTGTCATTTCTGGACAACGCCAACAGCACTATGTGACCTCCGGGTCCACACATTCCCCACCGCACCGGTATATTTATTGCTGGCGTTGGAAACAGAAATGATAAGGATGACGCGTGTGCGATTTCTCGAGCAAAACTCCCAGTGTGGAACAGTTTTTCGTGCATCCTGTCATTATCTATATTATTCTAGAAATGTAGCGTGCGATATTAAAACGTCCCTTCCTCACACATTCAGAAAGTGTTGAAAACGAGAAAAAGCCCACACATAAACAAGTGAGAAGTTCACCTCCGCCCCCAACAACCCCCTTCAGTGGAAAACAAATTACCAATATAAATAAGTTCCCACAAAACACGCAAGGACATATGAGATGGTATAATAAACTATTACCCTTATTTACAACTAATGTATTATTTTAAATTCTTGTAGATACAGGTAAAATATTGTTCCTTTTAGTAGAGACCCCGCGGTTTTGTGTTTATCCCCAGTGGAATTCAATCTCGAGAATTATAAAAGGTAGTAAGGGTATGCAGTACAAATAATGGTGTATTCTCTGCCGTGAAGATTGTTCGGGTCTCCCACGTAGATGGGCAAGAAGGCCGCGAAGCAGGCGATGTTGTACGTGACGAAGTCGACGAGGAAGTTGATGAGCCAGTAGCGGGTGGACGAGATGCCGGTCAGGAGCTGCAGCATCTTGGCCTTGCTGACCGTCTCCTCGATCGGGATGGCGATGTAGGCGGCCGCCAGCAGGGACAGCAGTAGCGGCAGGATCAGCGAGTCCATGATGCGGGCCGTCAGCGCCGTCGTGTACATGGGGCCCGTCACGGTGTCTTCGACCGTCTCGATGCTGTAGGTGATGCTGCTTTGGTTATCCCTTTGCTGCATCACTTGACCTGAAAGGATCCAGGGGAGAATGTGTTTCGCATGTTCCAAAACACGTCTTTGGTGCATTGCATCGCAACACTACCCTTTGGTTATCGCAACGCCGATCGAAGAGTAAAGGCCGGTTCACACAGCACCGTTTTTTTTACGTTGCCATATGTTACAAAAGCTTACGTCGGCTTACGTTGAGAGCCACCGAAACATCTGTGCTTCGAATGAAGCGTGGCAACCAATTCAAAGAGTAGACTACCACGCCCGATTCCAGGCACTGATGATACGGTGTCTTATCCCTAACGTAAGAAAGCGCAAGGAAGCGATCCTGTGTTAACCAAACTTTAAAGGAGCTGTGCAACGATATTCAGTTGGAATGTTTTTCACTATACATGAGCTTACTGGCACTAGTGGGACTCAAGGATACTCGCACGCAACGCCACTGGCCAAGAAACTCCTTTGTTGCGGTGAAATTTCAAGGACAAAAGCAATTATTTTCGTTTAATTTCTTCTTTGCAAAATTTGATGACGTAACGTGGGGATCGCAGAACACCCAAGTGACGATATTTGAATGCGGTTCATAGATTGGACCCGAGCCCTGCGTGGGCACTCAATTTGGGCTCGTGATAATTACTGGCTCGAGAAGCATTCGGGTAGTCGCCCGCGTCCAATCGCTGCAACGACGACAATAGCCGAGCCATAACAATGTCTGGAACTCAGCGCGTGTCCTGTGCTTCGCCAACCCCAGCGCGTGGCTATGATCAACATTGGCGGCATATAATCGGCTCCAGATCGCGTGGCCGCTTGTCCTGGCTGCGAGTTGAGGGGGTGAACGCTGCTCGTTTTTCTTCAATTTTTTTTTCTGGGACTTCTATTGCGTGAAGTGAAAAACGAACGCGTGTTTCATAGGTCATTAACGTCAGGGATCTGTTCTAAGCGGTATTTGCGCAAAGTACAAAAATTGTTGCATCGCCCCTTTAAGGCTCGTTTAAACTCCAACGTCGAGCGCATAACAAACGTGGCGTAGATCAGCGCAAAGAGATACTGATTGGTCGCTGATATTGAGTTCCCTCTCGCCGGCCAGTGAAAGGCGTGCGTTCTGCGCAAGTTCTCGTGTCGAATCCACGAGTCGCGCTCGACTGCCGTCAGGCGGGTGGTTTTGATCCCACAATTACATCATCAAGCTTCGCGATGGCAAGACTGAAAGAAATAGTCCCCTTTTGTCCTCGCAATTTCACCGCGACAAAGAGGCTTCTGAATCAGTGGCGTTCTGTGCGAGTATACTTGGATGAAGCTAGGACCAGTACGCCTCTGCAAAGTCATTAACATTCTAACCCGATACCGTTTCATGACACCTTTAATATAAAAAAAATTAAACTACATTTCTTAGAATTTTCAACATTACATGAGAAGACATACGGAGATAATTTCAGCAGGACACGAAGGGCTCCTGTTGCATCTAGTCATTGTAATTTACTTGTAGAATACCCAGTCACATTTAGGACAGCCCAACTCGTAGTATATTGTAGTTTCCGTTGCGAGTTCTGTTGTTTTGTAGCGAACATGTACACAAGCTCGGCTTTTAATTCCGTGAGGTTATGATTGCAATTTTGTTTTCGCAAGTTCCTTGGCTTTATGTTTTTTCCCCCCTAAATTTTTTTTTTTGTCAACCTCACCATTTGCCATTGTAAGAAGGCCAAGAGCTCGCCATGTTGTCCCTGCAATTTTGTTTCCTGAAATCTCTTCATTAAGCGATGGGGATAATTGAAGTATTATCTCGGGAATGTCGGCCATTGCTAGCGTCGCCTGCTGATGTGGGCACTCTCAACTGAGAACTCCAATGCATACCCAGAATCCATCATCTACTTGGTTTTCAATCATTCTCTACGAGAAACCTTTCTTTGGCAGAAACTTACGTAGATATTCGAAGTCCCTTGCAGCTAAGAGGAGAAAGAAAAGGGCAGAAATTAGGAATTGAATACAACTTCAGCTGATTGAAATACAGGGTGTCCCTTTTATCGAATGAAGATTTTTCCTAAAAAAAAGTTGTGCGGTCTGCAAATGAGTTATATGGCCAGGCGGACATTAAGTTGAGGGCGAATGCAACTCATATAGGAGTAATTAACGAAAATTCACTATTTTTTTTAGAGTTTTAGGGCACATGTTTATATTGAAGGAATGGAGGCAATCAATGTTGACCAACCCAGTTTTTTAAAAATCCTGCATTGAGCACAGCATGAAAAAACATTTTTTTTTTTTGGCGTGTCAGAGGCCCTTTAAAAACCGGTCGAATTTGTGAGGTTTTTCAGAAAGCCGTAAAATGCTTTGCGTGCCTTTTATAGTTCTGCAATTTGTTGGTTTAGTGGGTTTCGATGATGCTGAGCAATTTTCTAATTTAAACCCTTAAACACAATATTAAAAAAGTTTATTAGGAAAAAATAATTAACAAGTTAATTATCCCGAACTTTAATCATTTTCTTAAATGGGCCCCTGGCCCAGAACCACAACCCCACGAGCCTTTCTTTGTTGAGATGAGTAGTTTTCGCAGGAGCGATTTGGCCTGTGTTCTCTGAAACACCCTATATATATATATATATATATATATATATATATATATATATATGTATGTATGTATGTATGTATGTATATATATATAACGGGCATGGTGGCGGGAGGCCGAAGGCGTGGGTATAAAACTGAGAAGAAAAAAAGAGAAGAAAAAAACCCTTAGTGAAAAACAGCAACATCGGACATTCTAATCTTCGACGTTTCGGCCGGAGTCCGGCCTTCCTGACGAAGGCCGGACTCCGGCCGAAACGTCGAAGATTAAATCGTCCGTTGTTGCTGTTTTTCACTAAGGGTTTTTTTCTTCTCAGTTATATATATATATATATATATATATATATATATATATATATATATATATATATATATGTGTGTGTGTGTGTGTGTGTGTGTGTTCTTTTTTTAATGTCGCTCGAACGTTTCTTATTAATTTGGTTATATTTTTTTCCCGTATAATCGCAAGCTTTCTTAATTTAGAGATCATTACCTTTTCCCGAACTTCGCAATCGTGCACTCTACCTCAACGCGACCAAAACAGCGTTGGTCAATATGAGTCAATCCAGTTTAATGCTAATAACAAAAACAAAACGCATGGGGAGTTTCTAGAATGCTTAGCTTTGAGACGGACTGCGACATATGCTTTGTGCTGGCGTCGCATCAGCGATGATCGTGGTGACCTTAGCAACTTAGCGCGTACCTCCCGCAGCGTGCGTATCGCGCCAGTGAATTTCTTTTTCCAAGTAAGAACAGGTAGGAATGACTACCAGCATGGTGCGACGACGTTACAAGCGAGCCATGCATAGGGTGTATTCACTGGACGCCATATTTTAGTGCACTGTTCACTGGGCGGGCTCAGAACGAGCTCACATTTATAGGCTCCCTAAGACCGGCAATCTTGATGGTGTGGAATGCACGTTCAAAAAATGAAAGCCGTTTACAACTCCCTGTGACGCCGAATTTGAGCGCAGCTCTTGAGGAGGAGGGAAGGGTACTGGGGGGATCAGTTGACCTCGGAAGGGGGGGGGGGGGTCACGTGATCTCGGGGGTCACGTGACCTCGAGGGTCACGTGACCTGGGAGATCACGTGACCTCGGGGGAGGGGTCACGTGACCTGGGGGGGTCACGTGACGATGACGTCATCAATGATGATGGCGATGACTATGCGGATGCCGATTACGTCGTTGGCATCCGCATCGCCATGGTCATCATGACTGATGACGTCATCAGTGACGTCATTGGTGACGTCATCGTCATCGTCATCATCACTGATGACGTCATCGTCACGCGACCCCCCAGGTCACGTGACCCCCCCCCCCCTAGGTCCTCCCGAAGGAACCCGAGGTCCTCCCGAGGGCCTCCCCTAGGAGCCCGAGGTCCTCCCGAAGGAACCTGAGGTCCTTCCGATGTCCTTCCGAGGTCTTCCTGAAGAAGCCCGAGGTGCTTCCGAGGTCCTCCCGAAGGAACCCGACGTCCTGGGGGGGTCACGTGACGATGACGTCATCAGTGATGATGACGTCATCGTCATCGTCATCATCACTGATGACGTCATCGTCACGTGACTCCCCAGGTCACGTGACCCCCCCCCCCCCTAGGTCCTCCCGAAGGAACCCGAGGTCCTCCCGAGGTCCTCCCGAAGGAGCCCGAGGTCCTCCCGGGGTCCTTCCGAAGGAACCCGAGGTCCTTCCGAGGTCCTCCCGAAGGAACCCGAGGTCCTTCCGAGGTCCTCCCGAAGAAACCCGAGGTGCTTCCGAGGTCCTCCCGAAGGAACCCGAGGTCCTGGGGGGCATCTTCACTTAAACAGCGCAAATAAGTTACGTAAGGAAGAGACAAGAGGAAGGAAAGAGCGCTGACTCACAACTGAGGTTTTAATAATGATGTAGGGAAAGAGAAGGAAGGTGTCAAGTGCTGTAATATTATTAAATTAAAGAAAGTTACAATTATTAACCTCTTTCTAAGGGCCAAATTAACGGAATGACAATTTGCATTTCTAAGTAACCCAAGTGAATATATCTACGTACAAATATTCAGAAGTGAACTACAAAGTTGTCGGTGATCCAACGGTTACTGGTTGTCACAGCCAGAAAAAAAGAAGAAGAATCACGATGTCGACGGTGATCCCAAGGGCGTTGGCTTCCACAGAAATGAAAATTGAGAAGGAAAAAGAAGAAGAAAACAGGAATAAAAATAATTTAGGGACTAAAATTCAAAAATTGGAGCTCTTTCGCCGTCAGAGCAATCGAAGGCGTACTTATGCAGGCTAGGCCCTTATTCGCGATCTTGCACGCCTCGTACACCTCTCTAGTCTTTTGTTCTTCAAAATGTTTAAAGGACCAATGCAACAATATTTGTACTTTGCGCAAATACCGCTTAAAACGGATCCCTAACGTTAATGACCTATGAAACACGCGTTCGTTTTTAACCCCACGCAATAGAAGTTCCAGAAAAAAATTTAAGA